CTGGATTGGGTGTAAATCTTTCTCGCCACATTGGCAACAATTTAGATCATTTGGGCCCGACGTTGTGTCCTTGGGAAAGGCACTTTACACGAATTTTCCTCACTTCACCCAGGTGGGAATGGGTACCCGGCTATAGACAGCGAAAGATCTTGTCAGTTTGTAAGTGTTTGAGCGCTTAATCGGCTGCTTGCACTGTATGCTTCCCAGGAAGCTGAGAATGTTTCGGAGTGTTCTATGGTCTGCTGGGGTAATAATATAGTGTAAAGCGCATCGAGCCTGCTGATGAGCGGGGATATGCGCTATACAAATGCTATCTATTATTATTTTATTTATTATTTATATGCCTGTATGTTTCTGTTTCTTTTAGTCTTCAGGTATGTGGTTTCATGGGGAGAATGCTATTGCTGTAGGCCTATTTGGCAAAAATATAAAAATGGTATCTTGGCTTCAACTGCACAAACATATAAGCGTACCTGTACTATTGAACACATGAACTGGAACAAACCGGTAATTGCCAACAGATAATATTCTAAATTTATATAGGATAGCAAAAAGAAAAACCCCCAAGAAAACAATCTAGGTAATACAAAAGCTAAATTTTAAAGAATATCTTGATATAGTGAATGGCACTTTCGGTTTTAGACAACGATATGTGAGGCGTGCTGACAAAATGAGTGACTTCTCGCAATGCACAAACGGAGATATTAGCCAAAAATCTACAATAGAGTCACATTTGTAGACTTTTTTTTCATTGATGCCACGTTCTTTAACTAAAACATGTCTTTTATTATTTCATACTTGGAAATTGTAGAAACTTCACCTTTTAGCGTAATGTATCGATTTCCTTAACTTAAGGCTTGAAACCGAGAAGTAACTCATTTTGCCAGCACGCTTCACATATGAGAAACACCAGAAATCAACTATTTCATTTTGTTGGGTGTACACACAATTTGACTTCAAGAAGACGAAAAATCACGTCTTTGAATTGTCAAAAAAAATAAAAATCTATTTCGAACATGATTTCGAGGTTGGGTAAGGTAAGGGGAAATCCAGTTGCTCCTTTCAACTTCAACAAAGTCGGACATGCGACAGTCCCTCCTCCAAAGAAGAAGAGACTCTCGTTCACAGCTCAGTAGTTACTTCTTGCCTGGTTCAGGGCGAAAATGGCGGCAAAAGCCATGATGGCGATGGAAGGAATGACGTTGTTGCATGAGTTGTTCTCGTTGATAACGTCTGATTTGAGGTGCATATAGAAGGTGGAGTATCCCTTCACCACTGTGGCCCTGGGGACATGAGAGAAGAAATGCTTGTTTTTTAGTTTAGTTTTAGAAGAGGTTTTACGGCGCTCTCAACTGCATAATAAGGTCATATGAGCGCTAAGGGGTGGAGATCAACAGAGAAGTCCTTACAGTACAGGGAATCAGACTTACTCTGCTCACCTCTCTAGCTTCACCAGCACAAAGTCTGCTTCGACTATCAAGGCACCCCGAAAATAGTGGGTCACAAGAGTGTGACAAACATACAAAAGAAGTAGAGGAAAAAGGACGATAGTAAGGATTAGGAAAGAAAAACCAGCAGTTCCCTGTTGTAGATCAGGCACAGTTATGAGCGTGACATTGATGAATCAGCCCATTTACAATTCTACTGTGCATGAACGAGGAATGCCCCCCCTCCCCTTTGGGGATGGCCTAAAGACACTTCGGTCAGTGGCACCGCCCGGGGGGGGGGGGGGGGGGGA